AAACTGCGATTATGATCAGATCGGGAGGAATAACTGAAAAAAGAGCAACACGAATGGCACTGGCATCACTTCCATCGTATTGTTAAACTGAAACCATGTGTACACAGAGAGGGACAGAGAACAAAAATCATGAGTAATGGAATGGATCCTAGCAATCTAACTACGATGATGAGTGACCGGTCAATTATTGGCAAGGGCGAAGTGAAAGACTACTTGAGAATTTTTAATAACTATCTTCGACTTGAGGATAAGTTGACTTTATGCACCTAATCAGGGAAAAACCTTGGGAATGAACCAGAATCAAGATAGCTTTCATGACAACTATGGCTTTTGTTAATGAGATATCACTTGCGAGGCGGAAACTCTCCACGACCTTGGAAATCGTTGCTGATTACTTGTCACTGCTGATTCAGTGAGGCGATTATTAACCTAAGTGGGCTTTTTCTGTCATCCACGACGACGCACTCAGTTTTGCTGTTCATGAGCATTATTTTATCGTCTACACTGAAATCGTATGGAGTGCGGAAAATCAGAACTAATAGAAACGGTTCGCTTGTTTGCGCTAATGTGAAGCACATCAGTTGATTCGCTTCTGATCACGAAAATGTTGTGTGATAAAGTGGTAAGACTCGAGTATGCGCAAGTTTACATACAAAACAGAGTGAGATTTACCGGGTCACGAATTGGCCAGTCCGGGAATCGGACCGTATCGCACAAATGTCGCAGATAGTAGTTGTGACAGAACAATTCATTTTCCAGTTGCGGATACACAATCAACGGGATCCCGATAAATTGATAGATTGCGCGAGTATTACTGTGCAAACGAGGTGTAAAATCGGCCAAATGCGATGCGATCCGTTCAATCATGAATCGACTGTATCACACGCAATCGACCCGACATGCAAGTGAACGGATCAAGGATGGGGGGGGGGAGACATAAAGAATACGGGTCAGCGCGAAAGTGTGTCGATTTTAATGAATTCGCTATGATATACAAGTGTTAACCAAACTCGTGCAACATCACCCTCATTTTGAAAATCCATATCACCTTGCAATATCATAGTTATATATAGATGACTATGAGTAAAGTGTTTTTATTCCTGAATTTATCTCCAACATCTATGTTCTTAGTTCTTATCTGTCACCGTTTGAATGTGCGTAACCTTGACTGTCGCGATAAAATTTGCAGTAGTTCGAAAGTTACAGCTCTGATTTGGAAAATATTTTCGGTAAAGCAGCATGAGAGTGCGTTTTTTTTAAAGATGAATTCTGTCCCATGAGAGTTGTTATTAAGTTGAGCACACGCATTCCAAATTTCTAGTCTCTTTTCATTCAGTGCACAGTAAATAAGCAAATTATTGAAAATTGATAAATTATTTGGGTACAAACTACTCACGCATTGTCTACAATACTGGAAGAACTGAAAACATAGACCAAGAAAGACACAAGTTGATCTTCGAAAGTTGACCCTGAGGTGTGCGTCCTGTAGTGTCACCATGCCCAAACGGGATGAAACTTTCGAAAGATTTTGGCATATATAATTAAAGCCGAGAAGCAACTTGAACGAGAGGCGCATAAATCTGTATATTCAACGAAATTTCTTCATCAAGACATAAAGTGAGAGGGAGAAAACCGGCCATAGCAAAGCAAGATGATAGTTGTATTTGATCGCAGCAGAGAAGAGCTGCCCAAAACCAATCTGGAGGATAGTCCGGGCTGATTAGCCATCCCCCCTCCCCAAGCTTTCTTTTGGAAAATGATGTCTCAAATAAAAAAAATGCCGCTGGGGCCATGTGATATAAAACCGTTATTGAACGCACAACAAAGCAGAACATGTATTGATTTTACCAACAAATTCAAATCGCGTCGCCCACCCATTTGGCAATGGGTTTATCTCACGGTGGCCAACGAGTACTTCAGCACATTGTGAAAGCTGATCTACTGAGCCAGTTTTTTAATTAATTTCGATTTACCTGTCAAAAAAAGTAAACATCTACACCGCCTAACGGGTTGGAAGGAATATAATTATTGCGCGCATTGTTGTTGGTCTCCTGTATGCGCCAATATGGCCATAACAAAATTCCTTGCATCGATAACTGTCACTCCCAAAATGCATTCGCGGAAGTCATATTTTTCACATATGAAGGATGGTATATCAGCTCGCTTGACGTTGGTGGTAGAAAACGGTTAGACCTAAATAAATATTTTTTTCATATTTATGCAGTTTCTAGAGGGGTCGATTTCAATGTCAAATTTGTTCTATTAAAGCACAGCACCTGGGATTTAAATTTAATCGGAAACTGTTCCCTCTATCAGAAACAGGGAAAAGTTAGCTACCTTGCCACAGGTCGCCGGTGTTAAGGGTGTGCGGTGTATTAGAGGAAACTTGCAAATTCTGTTTGGCAGTTAACTTGGTGGATTCCATCCTAAAGTGACTGCCTCCAGTGCTCAAAAATGACGAAGAGCAAATGGAACATGGACGAGATGAAAGTACAATACCAGTATGAAGTCCATGAGCTATTTAAAAAAATAAATTACAGTCACGTTTTCTACTGTGACCTTGTTATCTTACAACTGATGCACCAGCAACCATCGTCAAAATCGCGAAATTTTGCATTTTAATGGCATGTGGCTAATAGAAGCAAAGACATAAGTGGGTATTATATCAGGTATGTTGCGTCTGATGTAGGGAAATATCATATTCAATCCACCGTGAATGAGGCTGGAAAAACGAAGCATTGAGAGGAACAAATGTGATAAAAATCAGGATGTTGCATGAATTTGGTTAATACCTGTAGAGAAAGTACCATTAAGACCGATTCTATCGATGGTCAACTCACCGTACCACCAGACTGCCAAGTGGCTCGTAGGAATTCTCGAACCAGTGCGCACAAAGCTCGCAAAATACAGGAAGCATAGGAAGTGCCATTCTTGATCATCTAGTAGATACAGGTCATCAAATTAGACCGGACTCGGCTTTCAACGTAATCTATCGTGTGCCCCTCAACCCCTCCAAAGCAGTGCGCTTACATACACTAGCCACCGCTGAGGCGATAGGCATTCGCCTATTCGCACCAGAACTATGTGCACAAAAGCGACTGGTTCAAGCTCTCCACTTACCCTGGCCCCAAATTGATCATCAACATCACCATCACCACCACCACTCCAATCACAATCAGTCTCACCCGAACACAGATACATAGAGCTTACCTCTCCCCTCTCCTCTCCTCATCCCAAATGACCCTTTGACCCAGCGTGAAAATGTTTCCCCACTAACAACAAACCCTTATATGATCTGTACAGGCACGATTATGAATCATTCGAAAACAAGTGTTCGCCTTCGGACTTGTGTTCTGACCTGTAGATTAGTGTGAAATGTGCGGTTCAGTGTGCCATTTTTGGTAACCAAAAGGGTTCTTTATATACTGTATTGTCTCGGTCGTGGTTTTTTTCTACATGTAATTGTTGACGATGAGATGTATTCACAATAAAACGCATTCAATATTCACATCAGGTAATCCGATTCCGCGTCACACTCTCCGGAGTACAATAAACCCGGTGTGGCGCACATTAGGCCCCGATCGAGCGGTTGAAAGGAGTAATCGTGATCGTTGTTTGTTATCCATGTGAGTTACTCAAGAAATCCCCGACGGAAAGCATGCGCAAAACATGTTCCATGGAGTGGATTACGATCGAACAAATGATCTTGTTCGCAAACTCGATTTCCAGACGATTCTACTCGGCTTGATCCCTAGGCAAAATAAAACGCATTTAAGCATGTAGGAACGGATACTCCTCACGTCCGGGAGGATGCGATGGTGAACAAACACGGACCACGTCGGGTTATATTCAACTCCAGTTAAAAATAAAAAAATTAACCAAACCATATGGGATGCCCATGCTGAATGCGGGATAACCTATCAATCACTTCTAACAAACATACATGAGTATACACGACATGGCACAGGCCGTATATGCGAACTTGTTGCGAGTATCGGTCCTCACTCGTCTCACCACTAGCCTCCAGAATGAGGAACGCTCTGAACAGCTGCCAGGTGGCCCAGTGGGTAGTATGCTTGCATCCTATCTGTGAAGTCCCGGGTTCGATTCCCAGTTGGGTTGATGAATTCACACTGCTGATGAGACCCCCAACCAGGTCGAAACATCTGCACAGCGTACTTCTCAACTTTTCAGTTCACGTCTCATTTACACGACGAATTCATCATATAAACAAATCGAATACTCCATCACTCTCGTACTTGAATATACACCAGGAGAAATCATCGTAAGGGATAAAGGAAGCATAACTGTATTGCACAATCTGTGCAATCAAACGAGCTTACCGCATTTCTGCATTCCAAATCGCCTCGGGCGAGTCGAAATTTCCCAGGAATATTTCGGCAAACTTTTCCGGCGGGTGATTCTCCAGATACGCGATCATAGCATCCGGGAGCATATTGCCCAGAATAGATCGGGAGGTCAGATCGGTACTGGATAGCAAATGAGCCTGGTATTTTTTTTGTAAAAAAACACATAAGATCATAGTCTTGACGGATGAGAGAGAAATATAGACAGAAAAACTTGCATTTGTCACTTGACTCCGGCAACACGACAAAAGTAGAAACGCTGGGCAGAAAAAACCGTCCCATAAATAAAACGTCCACTGCATGGTTTGTTCAAGGTGAACGAGACCTACAGCATGAGTTGCAGCCCAATGAGCATTTGCACAAATAAGTGAAAACGAGCTTGTTCACCACTTTTTGTTCTATCTGAAGTATGCTCTGTGGGACTGCTTAGACAATTAAAGCAAACCAGAGAGATCCCATCATACTTCGTGGGCTTAATTTCCGTACGAAACTGGCTCTGGCAGAAACTTGAATTCAGTTCATCTATGGGTGTGTTGCTAAATCGGGATTTTCAAAACAATATTGGCAATTGATGAGGATATATGGTGTGAACATCACCAGTGTGACCCTTCGCCCCCTCCCCCCCGGCTGTCAATGAGCATGACTTATTGCGTATTCATCTTGTGAATTAAGAACGGAATTACGTGACTTCCGCATGTGTGATGGATAAACTTTCGCCGATTGAGAGAAACTCTTTTGAGGATTATATTCAGTTAACCGTGTCTAAGCAAGTGCAGCGTTTCTAAACCGCGTGGTGTCGGCGACTTAACCATGTCAAGCCACTTTAAGCTCCCAGGCTTACACACCCGGTTTCCATACGCAATCCCCAAGGAATCCATTGTATGCATCAGACACCCTAGTTGGCCGACGTGCAACAGAATTCTCATGTTGAAGGCCAGATTCACTGATTGACGAGGTTTCAGAAACTGTAATCCAATTCGCGGTAAATTACTTACAGTGCTACTTGGCAACAAACTTTGGCAAGTGAGAGGGTTGGGTATAGAAGACAGAGAGCTAAACAAGGGTTGGGATGCCTGAGTAGTGGTCCACTTATCACTGCCCACTCTGCTCGATGCAATGGGCAGCACGGTCCTGATTATCCTGATGCAATATGGAACTATTTTATAGTTTGAGCATGCATTAGAGCTTCATGAGTGGGTACTGCTAGGGCGTTTAGCCACTAAGCAGGAGAACGATGAGGGTTCTCGTTTAAGGCCTTTAGTTCTAACAGGAACTTGTCCGCAAGGCAGCGAGTAAAGAGTAGTAGAGGCCCATTTCCTTGGATCGATTACTCCTATACAAATTGTATCGACGGAGAGGCTAATTCAAGTCGAACCCCCAACCTGGAGGGCCAGGAGACTGAACAGTGTGACTTCGATCCTCTGATGATATCTTCCCGCTTGATAAAGGTCATCTTGTGTAGCTCGTTGGGTCATGGAGGTGCACAAACCATCACACCACGTCAAGGCGCAGTCTCATCGTGATGACCGCACCTATACCTAGAAAGAATCTCCGTATGCAACGAGTCTGTATGTACACAAAAGAAAAAAAGACTCCAGAAAAAGTAAATATTAAATAAGCGATCCTTAAATCGGATAAACCCATACCGGGAAACGACGAAATTATAACTGAGCTACCGGGAGATATATAAGCATTACAAAAGAATAACAGCTAACCTAAGTGACGAAAAATTGCGCATCTAGCGTTGGTTGGAATCGAATTTCCGTCGTTTTACATTAGTCATAAACTTCGTTTGTTTGAATAAGTGTACCAAAAAACAAACTAATGACAAATTGAGACTATACGATTGCCTAAGAGGCCAAGCGAGAATAACGAAAGCCGTGAACAAACACACACACACCGTTCTCTGTGTCACCGCGATCACATTTACACAAGTTGTACTGTACGGGACAGACTGACGGAGTGGTACATAGAAAAAAAATGAGAGCACCCAAAACACGTTGCTAATATTTATGTTTACTTGAATCTGACCGGGTGATGGATGTACACGTCACTCGCCTCACCCCCAAAATCAACTACTTTGAATAGACAAATATTGATTACGCTTTACTGATACAGAGAGAGAGAGAGAACACGTGACTAGTGATGAAACCGATGCGGGTAGTGTAGTCAGTAAGTCTAAAATAAAGTTAGAATTGCATGAATATTTTTAATGGGGCATACCGCATGAAAGAATTAAAAGATTGTTTAGTCATGAACACACCCACGCACACACAGAGCAGAGAGACAAGGTGACAAACAGAATCAGTGCATGACCCAATCTGTGTTTGTGTGCGCGAGCGCGTGCGTAATGCACAAAATGTGCTGATTCGGTTGGGCAGCTGATTTGTGCAGCTGGATATGGGAGGGGGAACAGAGTCGAACGGGGACTGTCAAGCAGAGTAAAGCAAAATAGTGTAATACCGATGTAGATGTTGTGACTCGTGATGCGTGTGTCAATCGTGCATGGAATTAGAAAGTCAATAAGTCAGTCAGAACGTGTAATTTATGACTTTCTGCGAAATCAGTTAAACCATAAACAAAAATAAACACATACATACACAGACTGTGGCCAGAGAACGATCGATAATACGGTGGTCCAGATTACACTGTAATGTACGCTTTCAACAAACCGGACTGCAACTGCAGATGGAGACCGCAAAGATACGGGAGGTCAGAACTGCATACAGAACGATCACTGAGTACCAAATTGGCAGTTGAAACAGACTGTGTGTGTGTGTGTGTGATCTTGTTGATTACCTATTCTTGTTATTGCAATTTCATTATAAATGTAATAATTGCACGAGGTCTGGTGCCTGGTCGAGGATAGCTGTTTATTGCGAATAACAGTTAGGGTATCACCAATTTAGCCTACATATAACAGAAATCTCATTTGCAACAGCACCAGCACACCGGGATAATGAATGGAGCAACCAGTAGTTATTCTTTGAGACACAGCAATCTGCCCTCAGTAGTCTTGTTAATTCTTGACCGTTGAAGAAAACCCCACTAGCCGCACTATTTTGGATACTATTCACAAATGTGAGTAGTACCTCACGACAATAAACACTGATTCTTTCCATCCACATACCGACCCTTGAACTCTGGAAACTGCATCAAACTTGCTGTCCGTCTATAAACAAACTCTGAAGTGTTTGGATATGAATAAATGAGCATCACTTGCATCAATGAATAAACGGTCGCAGACGATCAGGGGTTCTCGGAGTATGTGGGCGGACGGACGGGTTGCCTGACTGGCAATCTTGCTGTAACAAATGACTGGTTGAAGTATCTTCACTCCTTTTTCGTTTACTTACTAGGCACACAAATGTATTGCAGAAAATTTTTAGCCAAGTGTGGGTGACAAACAAAGGCTTCCTGGGAGAATGCGGAAAGGGGAGGCAATTCGCACTGCGCATCATGGTGTGTGTGTGTGAGAGAGAGAGTGAAAATGGGTGATACGAAATGAGGTCGCGGTCACACATGACCTTATTACTTTCCATGTAGTATGTGGTTGTGGTATCAGAAACGTCAATGTCAAGTTAATCGTTGTTCCCCAAATTAAGAAAACTTAAGAGAAAACCATGTACGATGCAAGCGTGAAAACGAATGATAATCGCCACTCACGTCATCCATTCGGAACGCTTGTAGAAGATGGACATCCTTGAGAAAACGAGCAATCGGTAGAACATTACTCCCCGTATACATAAGGATGAAGAAAAATACCCCGGTCAGATAGAGCCGTGGCAGGCAAGGATTTTGATCCAATAGAACGTGTAGTAAGGAGACAACACGTTCGACCAATGGGGGATCAAACGTGAGCAGGAGCTGTAACGTGTCCGGGAGCCGAGAAGGAAAGGGAAATGAATAAACAAACCTATGTTACATTGAGCGAATTAGGATCGAAAATAAAACAATGTGCTTTTGGTTGTCAGAAATGTATGCGTGGCTTTTACGACCGGTTTATTATTTTTGCGTGTGTCATCACCATTATCATCGTCGTGCAGCGAAATACAGGGAAGCGAACTTCACTGATCGCTGCCAAACTAGCAATGCATATGAATTAGGATTTGATGGACGGGTATTGCTAGGGTGTCCAACCGATAAGCAGCAGACAGATTAGGGTTCTCGACAAAAGTCATGAGTTCTGACAAGAACCTAGCCGCAAGGCAGCGGTTAGGGCGGATTAGAGGCCCATTCCCTTGGATCAATTACTCTTCCACTATGTTTCACCGACTGAAACGCAAATTCTAGTCAAATTCACAACCTAGAGGACCAGGAGACTGAACTTCGTCCGACCTCTACCCTTCGACCTTCCAGGCATGATTAAATCTCCTGGCTTGACGAAAGCCATCCTGTGTTGGGTCATGGAGATGCACAAACCATCACACCACGTCAAGGTGCAGTCTCGTCGTGATCGCGTGGCGTGTATGTCCGAGCCCCTAGTATCATCACC